GGGAAGGGGATGCTCCATGGATGGTTCTGGAGCATGCCAGATGGAACTGGATGGCAGACGAGGTTAGCCCTCCCATCTTTACCTCCCCAGACGTCTCAGTCCAGTAAAAGCAAAGAAAAACAAACTGACCGCGTAAAAAGAGGTCAGGGATTCACTCGTTAAGCAAAAAGATGCTAAAGATTAGCTTCTTCTAAGCTGCTGGGCTGGGTGGGGGTCCCAGATTGTAGGAGTTTGATCTCTTTCTGGGGTTACAGAACCACAGTCCCCTGCTGTGCTCCCCAAACACAGCCACTTCTGTTTAACCGCACACAAAGGCACCTGGCTTTGGGACGTCTATGCAAAAACCTGTAGCAACCAATCAAATAAGGAAGGAGGTGATGATTCACAGTACAGAAAGAATTCTTGGATGGAGACTTGCTGCTTCAGCATTCCTGCAGGTTGCAGGATTCCTCTGGGCTTTGGGGCCTTCACAGAACCAAACAGGAATGGTATTGTATAGGACCCCCCGCCCGTACCGCTGACATACCACAAACTCCATCTAGAAAGCAGGGAGCTTGGGGGATTTTAGAACATGGTGTACTTAGCCAGTAGCCTAACTGAAGGGGGGAAAAAACATGAAGGGGGTCAAACCCCATCTTCTTGTTCTATCAGTGTGTGAGTCAGGGCTGCTAGCCTCAGGGAGAGGCTCGTGCCTGTAATCTCAGCACTCAAAGGTGGAGAAGACAAGACAAGAGATGGTATGTTCGAGGCCAGCCTGGGCTATGGTAGCAAGGAACTGCCCAGTGTCAAAAGGATAATTTGGTATGGAAGATGCCACTGGCTCCATGAGGATACTAAGGTTGACTGGGATGCTAGGGTCATAACCAGAGGTCACAGTAGTCTGTGATACACCCATACAAAGCTGCCTAGTTAGGGGCACCTTCCAAGCTTCCGGGGGGGGGGGTTCACCTACAGGAGAAGGACTGCAGATCTAAAGCATTCCTGCACCCCACAAAAGCGCTTTCTGTGTTACTAACCCACCCACAACTGTCACACTAAGGACAAAAGACACCTGAATTTGAGAGGTCTCCATGAAAAAGTGTACCAACAAATGACATGAGCAATGAGTCCGGGGTCAGTGAGAGGAAGTCACAGAGGCTGCCTGGAGGAGGCGGAGCAAATGGGCTTCATGGCCAGGGAAGCTTCAGCGGGGAGAGGCTGGATTTGGGCTGTAGCTGACCAAGAATCAGTAGCCCCCTCTCTTCCAGTGTCTCCAGTACAATAGCTTGGTGAGCGCATTAGAAAGGCAGGCCACCAAGCAGCCTCCAGGCCCACCAAGATGCCTTCTGAAGAGCCCCAGACAAATCAAAACGGAACTAAGTTGGGGGAAGTGGGGACATTGCTAAGCAAGTTCTCCAAGCCACGCAATCTCAAGCAAGCCTCAATCCGAAGGCAGACTGTGGAAGGCCAGGGGACAGTCTGAACCGGATCCAGGTAGATCCAGGAAGAACTGTGGTTACTTGAGTGGGGTGGGGGTGGGGTTCAAGGATGAGTCCCCAAAAGGAGAGACAAAGCTGCTATGGAGAGAGCCCTGGTGTCTGTCCCAAGGCTGTGCAGTCACATCACCCCAGCCCCTCTCTCCTACCACGTCCTGCAATGATCCTCACTAGAGTAGGCTGGTGACAGAAAACGCTTGGGCCTTGCCTTAGGAGTAAGAGAGTAGCAGCAGATTTGCGATTTCTCAGATCACACACTACGGGGTATGTGGTGACTTGCATCTTTAACCTAAGCATTTGGAAAGTTGAGGCAGGAGGATTGTTTCAGGGCCAGCCTGGGCTACAGAGTGAGACCCTAGCTCCAAAAACAAACAAAAAACAAACAAATAAAAAGCAGGTGATGGATGGGTGGATGGGCAGGTTCAGAGTGCTCCAAGGCTGGGTAGCCAGACCTCAGAAGTGTGTTCTTCTGAGACGAAAGGAACCCCCAAACTGCTGAACCTCACACAAACGTCATCTATGCTCCATGCATCCAGCCACCCCACGCTGGCAATGGCTGAGAGATGCTAGAGACAGGCAGCCCTGATCTACACATATTGTGGGTGTAAGGCTTAGACTCATGGAGTTTCTGTCCGGAGGATGGGGTAGGTGCATACCTGAGGGGCAAGTAAACTGGGGGCCGGGGAGACTTTCTGGGAGAAAAGAAAAAGATGGCCAAGAACCAACGCTCTTCTTGCATGCATTTTTGTATATGAAGGCCTTTGGTCAGTCTTCAAGCTGGCTCCCCTCACCCCAAAACCCCCAAGGTCCTTCATGCTGGCTCCCTGCACACCCAGAAGATATCTCTTATGGAAAGGTGGAATCCCTTACCCAGAACTCCCTCAGTCCATTCAGAGGTGGGAGCCAGACTGCCAGTCCCTTGAGCTCTGCCCAGGTGACCAGGAAATGCAGCCTCGGCCCGACTAGGTTTGCAGCCTGGGACCTGCCACACCTGCCACTCCTGTGTTGTGAGTCACCTGCACAAGCCCTGCACCGCGTGCTTCTCAACCATGGAGTGGGTTGCTCAGCAGCTCCTCTCACGCACACCGGATGTTATCCATCTCCTGCCTCCAGAAACGTGTCGGGGCAGATCGGGTAAGAACCCAGTTTTCACTCAACAACATGGCTGCTAGAAGTTTGGCGGAGTGGGGGACACAGAGAGATAATTCTTCCATTTTGGGTCAGGGCCTCCAAAGAGGTCCTTGGTGGGGAGGAGGGGCTTGATCCTGTTTGGCAGCTGTCAGACAGGATGGGAGAGTGAACTTGGATAGGAGGCGGAGGGGACCTCTCAATATCAGGCCTTCTCGGATCAAAGGCCCACCTGCTGTGCTTCCTCAGCCTCCGTTTTTATAAGACGACTTTTTAGCGCTTAGGAGGAGATCGTGGGCCCAAGGAGGAACATCCATGAGGAACGCGCAAGGCCTGTGAATAAGTCAGAGTCCCGGATCCTTGTCAGTGTCCTATAGGGCCTGATGGCTGCACCAAGGTGTGTGCCAGATGTTAACAGATGTGGGGAAAGTTAGCAAAAGGGGCTGCATTTGCAACCTTCATACCACCCTAGGTCCATGCTACACTCAAATCTTAATTTTAAAGAAGAGGCGGCGTCTTAACTCTCGCTGCCTAGCATGTGTGGATCTAGTCTCGCGGAAGCAGCTGCCACCGTAGTTTTTAAGGAGAATTGCAGCGACCTGCCCTGGCGGTGCTGATCCACTCTTTGGAAGGGAAGGGAGCAAGCCTTGCATCCACTCAGCTGCCTATTTTAGATTCGCGCCCTGTGCCTGTGTCCCCTCCCTAAAAGAAAAGCTGAGAGAGAGGCTTCTAAGGCCTCTCCGAAATGTCTTCCACTCGCAATGCCCTTCTGAAGTTCGACCGACCGGCCTAAAGAAGACAATTTCTAGACCCTTCTCAAGGAGCATCCTCCCAAATGCAGAGAAATACTGACGTACTAAGGGACCCTCACCAGCACATGATCATTGTGTGTAAGTTTGGAGATACCTAAGCGTCCAACAGGAGGCTGGATTACCAAGCAAAAGGGCTGCTTGGCAGCTGCAGGTGAATATAGTAGTACTAGAGTCATGATGGCTGGGGTGGGGGCATGTGTAGGAAACAAAGTCGTGAATATTGTGGGCTACAGCAGTGGGGAACCGTGGTTCCCAGCGTTATGGCAAGTGGAGGTTTTTCTGCCAACTGCAACTTTCTGTAGTTTCCTGTAACACAGAGAAGCGGGGAGTGGGTGGGAAGAAGTATGCTGTGGATCCTCGGTCATTGAGGAAGCTTCCAAAGTGCTTCCCCTAGGGTCAGAGCGAGGCAGAGAACCTGGCAGGGGAAGGATGGCCACAGGGGAGCCATCCTGGGCAGTGTGCAAGGATCAGGATGGAGCCAGAGCCCAGCTTCTACAGAACAGTCAGGACTCACAAATGCCACTTTCTGAAAAATGGCTCTGTTTTTGCTGTGGTGCCTAGCCCTCTCTCCCTCCCTGAGCAGGTGCTGATTGAGAGCCCAGGACCCTGGGCGCTTACCAAAGTCAATCCCTGGCTTAGTAGCTTTCTAAGTTGGAGGGGGTTCTGGGTGGGAAATTGATCATCATACACACATTCCAAAAGAAAGTCTAAAGACTGCTGATAGGGGTGGGTGGGGGACGGGGAGAGGGAATCCTATAGCTGGGAAAGTGTCCCCAAGAAACCACCTCCGGGGAAAGGTTCTGGAATTAAGGGTAAGAGCCAAAGAGAGAGAAAGAAACAGAGGAGCCTGGTATAATTTAGGGTGGGGTAGCTCGGTCACTCATTCAACAAACACCCACTCTCAGGCTATATGGTGACAGGTACCAACTTCTCCAGAACAACGCAATCACAAACGGACGAGGGGAGAAGGCACAAATTCATTTCATTTACAATTATTCTTAAAACCAAAGCCAAAAGTGCTGATACAAGCTGCACAAAAAGGCAGAGGAGGGTAGTGGGTGTACACACTGGACCAAATTTATCCGTCTTTCCACTCAGAAAGCGTGCTCGCAGGGTGGCCAATATCCACCCCCCAATAGCTCCACAGCAGCCCCCACTCTTCCAAATAATGCCGTATCCACCAAGCGCTCCCACCTCTACCCAGCCCCTGTGCTTCCAAACACTGCCCCTCAGAAGCCCGCTGTGTGCAATCGGCAGCTGCTTGGAGAGGCATGGCTAAGCAAAGGGTCCCGAAGGACCATCCCTGAGAAAAGGCAAGTGCCAAGAAGGCTGGCGCTTCCTCCGCTAAGTCTCCGTCCCACTCTGGATAACCAAGGGCTTAGCCACGTCTGAGGACGATGACCCAGAACGGCTGCTGCCTACAGAGATCTGGACTGGTAGGTTCCACTTGAAGGCAAAGGAGTTGCTAAAATGACCCCTGGGAGGTCAACTAGTACAAAAATTCCAATCCTGAAACCTTCTAAAAGCAACACAAGCGATGAGTAGGCAAATCAAATCCACAAGCTCGCACCGCAGTGAAACTTACCTCCAGGTGGGAGAGCAGCTGGGAGGTGGAACGATAACCCGTGGACGATGGGGACGAGGTCGCGCGCGGGTCTTCTAAATCCAGTTGATAAGCACCAAGTAATCCACGTTAGGGGATCCGGCGCCCCCACCCTCTTCTCCCCTGTTCATCCAGACCCCAAAGCGCCGCCACCGCGCTAGGGACCCGCGTGGGTAGCGGGAAGATCACGAGCCCGGACTCCCGAGCGGCTGCAGCGAGGTCCCCGGAATGGACCGACGCCAGAGCTGCGGGCGAGGGCCACCGGGGATTCCGACCGGCGCATCCTGTCTCCTCGCACAGCCTTTTCTTCTGTGCGCATCGCCAGCGCAAACGTACAATCCGCGCTCGGGAAAACCCCTCTGGCGAACCCAGAATATCCCATTGAGGGCTCGGGTTTGTAGGTCCGCGGGGATCTGGTGTCACAGGGAGGACGCTCGCTAGGCAGGAAAGCCCTGGAGGCGACCAAACGCAGTGTGCACACCAAAGCAGCAAAATCTGTGTGCACCCCACACCGCCAGCACTGCTCTGCGCGCCTCGGGTCGCTCTGCCTTTATAAAGATGGACTGCGAGGGGTGCGGTCAGACGGTGGGGCAAAGCGACAGATTGGCCGAGTGGTATCCTGGGAGATGTAGTTCCGTCTTCATGCTCCTTAAGGCTCCAACAAAGCTGAGATTTCATCCAGTTCTAGTTTCGTTTTTCTCAACTGAGGGGAGAGAGAAGTTTATTTCAGCTTCTGAAGAGGAAGCTGCTTTAGTCGATGTTGTGATAAAAGACTAACAAAAGTAACTGGCACTAAGCAACCATTCAATTTTTGACACAGAAGACAAAACCATACACTGGGGGGAAGGTAAGCCTATTCAACAAATAATGGCAGCCAAACTGGATTTCTGCTTGCAGTAGGGTGAAACCAGATTTGTATATTTGACCTCATACAAAAATCAATTCAAATTGATCAAAGACCTTAATGTATAACCAGAAACTTCTAGAAGAAAAATACAGGATACCTTTCAAGATACTGAAGTAAGCAAAACCTTTTTTGAATTGAACATCAACAACATAAGAACTAACCCCAAGTATCAACTAATGAGACCACATGAAAAACTTCTGGACAGCAAAGAAATCTGCAGAGTTAATAAACAGCCCACAAAATGGGGGGGGGGGGAACTATACCCTTGAGATAAGGGGTTAATATCCAGAATTTACAAATAATTGCACACATTAAATATCAAAGAGGTAAAAGTGTCAATCAACAAAGGGTCCAAGAACTGCCTAGGTGGGGGGAATGGAGGGAGGCGTGGAGGGAAAGAGGGGGCTGGAGGGGGGAAGAGGGCTGAAGGGATGGGTAGAAGGAGTGAAAGAAAGAGAGAGAGAGAAGAAAGAAAGAAAGAAAGAAAGAAAGAAAGAAAGAAAGAAAGAAAGAAGAGAAGGAAGGAGTGGGGAGGAAAGAAAGGGAGGGAGGAAAGGGAACCAAATGAAGGAGAAAGGGAGGGAGAGAGAGAAACACAAATGAATAATAACTGGGAAATGCAAAATAAAACTGAGATACCAGCTCGCCCCAGTCAGGATGGCCATTGTCAAAAGGTTTGATAAGAAACTTTGGAGGAGGCAGTGGTAGCACACGCATGTAATCCCAGGACTGGGAGGCAGAGGCAGTTGATCTCTGAGTTCGAGGCCAGCCTGGTCTATAGGACTACACAAAGAAACTCTGTCTTTAACAACAGAGAGAGAGAGAGAGAGAGAGAGAGAGAGAGAGAGAGAGAGAGAGAGAGGAATGTTGGAGAGGATGTGGAAAGAAGCCCCTATTCCTTGTTGGTGGGAGAGGAAATTAATACAACCATTGTAGACATCAGTTTGGAGACTTCTCGAAAAGTTGGAAACAGAGCTGGCATACGATCCAGCTGCTTCACTCCTGGGTATATGCCCAGAGAACTCCGCATCCTACCATAGAGTTATTTGCATCCCTGTTTTTATTGCAGTTTTATTGGCTACAGCAAAGAACCAGAATCGACCTAGCTGTCCATCAACAGATGATGGGTAATGAAAGCTTGGTATGCATATAAAATAGAGTATTATTCAGTTCTAAGAAAAAAATGAAATTTTAAAAAATGCAGGACAGTGGATGGACTTAGAATGTATAATATTAAATTAGGACACACAATCTCAGAATGAAAAGAAAAAAAATCCCTCTTATGAGGAACCTAGCCAATAATATATGTTAAATGTAAACAAATGTACATGCAGGCACACTATAATATAGTTGGTGTTTTTTTTTTTTACTCTTGGCTCTTTTGGGGCCCCAGTTTCCAAATAAATTGTACATAGAAACTTATTCTTTATTGTGAATGCCTGGCCTTAACTTGTCTCTAGTAAGCTTTCCTCAACTTATCCCTTTTGCCTTTTGCCTCTGGACTTTTACCTTTCTCTATTTCTGTTTATCTTTTCTTTCCTTCTTATTCTATGTCTGGCCGTGTAGCTGGGTCCTGGCCCCTTCTTCTCTTGCTCCTTGATTCCTTCTTCCCAGATTTCTCCTCCCGTCTATTCTCTCTGCCTGCCAACCCCACCTATACCTCCTCCCGCCTTGTTCCTGGACGTTCAGTTCTTTATTAGACCAGTCTGGTGTTTTAGACCGGCGAAGTAACACAGCTTCACAGAGTTAAACAAATGCAACCTAAAAGAATGCAAGACATCTTTGTATCATTAAACAAATGTTCCACAGCATAAACAAACGTAACACATCTTAAAATAATTCGAGAGTGGTGTACCATGAAGAAAAAAGAACAAGACAGGTCTAATACAAAGAGATGTGGAAGGACTAAGTACAGGCAATGGTCACCAGCTATGAAAGAGGATAAGAAACTAATTGCTTCCCTAGTCCCGACACTGTCACAGACTTTTCATCTTTGGTAGTGGATAAGTGCATAAAAACATGTTGGAGCATGGCAGTGCCGGGCCCACTGGGGATCTCCACGATTCAGAATGCCTACTCTAACTGTTCAGGAGTTTACTCAGCTAAGTAGACTTCAAGTCGGCTTTATTTCTGTGTGCGTGGTTTTTTAAGTCTTTGGTTTTTTTTTTTTTTTTGAAGATTGATTTATTTGTGTATTTTACGTATATGGGTATTTTGTCTGCATGCACATTTGCACACCAAAAGAAGACATCAGATCCCATAAGACTACAGTTATAGATGGTTGTGAGCCACCATGTGGGTGCTTGAAATTGAACTCAGAACTTCTGAAAGAGCAGCCAGTGCTCTTAATTGGTGAGTCATCTTTCCAGCCGTGTGTGTGTGTGATTTTTTTCTCTGAGGGATTTTTTTATAATAAAGACTTTTTAAAGTAGCTTAAAGAAGAAACGTTGTTTGTTTTTTGTTGGTTTTCATTGTTGTTTGTTTTTAGCTCCCTTTCCGAGTCCGGTCCATTGTGGTGGGAGAGACAAGGCGGCAGGAGCTCTAGGCAGCTGTGCACATCACAACAACAACTAGGGAACAGAGGAACAAATGCACACTGCTTCTCAACCCTTTCCCACTGATGGACAGTCCAGGACCCCTGCCCAGGGAACAGTGCTGCCCACAATGAAGATGGGTCTTCCCACAGGTAAGCCTCCATTCTGTAGCTCTAACCGCCACTCTGGAGACAGGGCACACATATTTAACGTGACAAGAGAAAATGGGGTGTGGTGGCTTTGACCTGTAAGCCCCAGACTCAGAAGGCTTAACCATGAGAGAGCGATATAAGTTCAAACTCAGGCTGGGCTACAGGGAGACACTTTGTCTAAAAAGCCAGTAAGTATACTCATATACAGTCACAGGACACACATATGTTCCTCTAGACAAGAGCAATGGGTATATTGATTACTATTCTGTTGCTGTGATAAAATACCAAGACCAAAAGCAACTTAAAAAAAGATTGATTTTAGCTTATGGTTCTAGAGGGATAGCGTCCTCATGGTGGGGAATGAATGGCTTGGCAGTAGACGCGGCAGGAACAGGAAACTAGCTGAACCCCGGTTCAACAACAAACAGGAAGTCGAGAGAAAAAAAAAACAGAAAGTGGAGGTAAGACTATTACCACCCTCAGTGATATACTTTCTCCAGCAAGGCCAAATCTCCTAAATTTTCTTAACACACACACATACACACATACACATACACAAAAGTGCCACCAGTGGGGACCAAGTGTTCAAATGCATGATTCTATGGAGGAGATTTCTCATTCAAATCCCCACATGGAGTTTGAGAAGAGAGAAGGTAAGGAGAGTGATGTCTGGGTCTTCCCTAAGCCCAGTCTTCAAATTTCCACCCATGCTCTAACTAATTGTCCCTCCCCCCTCCCCATTGAAATCACAGGCTCTAGGGAAGCTCTAAGTTGGCCCTGGCTACCTGGCGTTTATCTGGTGCCAAGTGACATCCAGAGACTGCTGGTGGCGGTACAGAGAGGTTAGGTCACTGTTTCCATTTTACAGTCACAATTGCCCCCCTCCCTGGCTTTCAGGAAAACTTGGACAAATGTGAAGACCAAGAGCACAGAAAACTGCACCCCCCCCCACACACACACCTAGGTCTGCAGTGCACAGAACTCAAGGGAGAGGACCTCAGCGTGGCCACAAGGACCTGCCCAGTTTCTCCAGATCTTTCCTAAAGTAGAGACTCAAGTAGCCATGGCAGCGACAGGTTTGCTGTCTTCTCAAAATGGTCCCCGAGCCTTGGGTGGATTTGCCTGGCTGCTGGTTCTTCTGCACGCTCCCTTCACTCCATTCCTTGATGCTTTCAATTGTCCCCTGACAGCATGAGCATCCTGAAGACTTCGGAAGAGCAGAGTGGTGTCCATGGTAACTCCTCAGTGCTGTGGGATGGACTGTACCCAGGCAAGCTGGAGTCTCGTAGTCCTTGTTTAAAAACTTCCAGGTGTAGCAATAGGAATGTGCTTAGCTATGGTTGCAAATAGATACGAACACACAAACACACACACACACACAAATAAATGTTTATAATGGATCACTGTATTCACACACAAATATCTCTCTGCTCCCTCCACTATGAAAGACAAAATGCAGTGACACCCCAGGACCTGGAAGTACCTTTCTAATGCTATTGTCCTACCTAAGGTATCAGGGAGACTTGAAAAAAATGGATGAATCTGGGTCAAGAGCCAGAACTATATAGAAAGAGTCCCAACCATCTTAGAGGCCTAGAAAGTAAGAAAGAGCTAAAATGTATGTAAATACTACAGACAACCAATACTAATATGTACATGGTGAAGGGAGACAGAAACAAGCTCCACCTAGGCCTGGTAGCATAGGCCTATTGCCTTAGCTACTCAGGAGGCTGTGGCGGAGAAATCACAAGTTCAAAGCCAATATGGGCTAAAGAGTGAGTTCAAGGCCACCTTGGAGAACTTAATGAGATCCCAAATTTAAAATGAAAACTCACGAGTGATGGAATGTTTGCCTGGCATACACAGACTCTGGGAGCAATCCCTAGTACTACAAAGAAAATGAGGGAGGGGTGGTGAGGAAGAGGACAAGGGGGAGGGAGAGAGTGTAACCAAGCTAGCAAGCAGGAAAGAGAGGGATGGGAAGGTGTGAGAGGAGAAGAAAGAGGATGAAAGGGGAAAGGGACAGAGAAATGGGGAGGAGAAAAGAAAGACTGGGAGGGAAAAGAGATGATGGGAGATGGGGAGGAAGGGAAGGGAGGGGCGGAGGAAA